TGATTGGCTATGAAAAATAAGACCCTTGAGTCTCAAATGCTTAAGGGGAGAAAAATAAAGGCAACTGACATTGAATTCAATACTCCTTGGTACAAACCACATACGTGGATTAAGGTCGATGTCTAAGTTGTCCTGAAGAAGAATGCATATAACAATACTCCTTTTGTTGGCTAGATGTTCTGAAATTCAGCTCAGTGTGCTTGTCTGCAATTGCATTCTATCAGCAAAACAACGATCAAGTCAACACTATTTTTCAGACGTTGGGAGCTATGGAGCTATAAGGAAACCTAGTGTATTTGGATAACTCGTGAATTTCCTCTGCAGGAAAGAACATGCAGTATGGCCAAAATTGCTAAAAAAAAAAAAAAAGAAAAACCCCATCCAACTCATTATGACAAAAGGCCATCCAGAAGTAACATTCACAATGAAATATCGATAACGTTCACCATACAAATGTTGCAATAGTTCTTACCTTGCTCACAAAGGGCACCGACATAGCTGGGAAGACAGAGGCACTTGAATGTATTAAAACCGTCAATGCATGTGGCTCCATTGCGACAGGGGTTTGAGTGACATTCATCAAAATCTGAAACAAAATCATAAAAGTCCAAAAAAGTACTTTCAAAAAAACTCAAAGCATTCTATTTAGTGCAAGGTTGCTAGATAAAATATAAGATAGCCAGTTAAATTAGAATTTCAGATTAAAAAAAATTTTCATATACTTATGTCCCATGTTATATTTACAACATACTTAAACTAAAAAAAAAATCTCTTTTTAATCTGAAATTCAAATTTAACTGACCGTCTTGTATTTTTATTTGCCAAATATTTGGCAATCCTAAGATAACTTCAAAGATATTAGAGGAAGGTCATTATTTCCATTTCTTTTAGATGAGTTATATGAGCCCTTAATGGATCAAATTCTGATCTAGCCTTCGTAATCCCCTATCCTGGTCCATGCTCTGATTACCTCATGAGTGGAATACTGAAAATAACTAACTGGCCTCCCTATCCCTGGGCTGATTGGCTATGAAAAATAAGAC